AAGCCTCAGGTGGCTCTCAAAGTCTAGAATCGAACCCGAAACTCAGGAGATTGATAGTTGAAAGAACATACACCCCAGGTTAGGCAAGCTGCATGAGCCATAGTCCAGCCTGATATCATATCATTTTGCGCTTTGATATGGTTGAATCCATTGAATCCATGATTTGGTCCCTCCTGGGAATGCAGCTCCCACCCGAATGCACTTGATAATGTTATCTGAAGGCGCGATGTGTTTTTGCTTTACCGCAGCCATGCAGACTTCCAAAATTGTGGAGTGTTTCAGGATCTCCCAAGCCAAAATTGTGGAGTGTTTCAGGATCTCCCAAGCCCTTTAGGGTTTTGGGCCACCCTGTGTTTACTTGCAGTAATGCAGGTTGTCCCTTTTCTTCTTCATCAGTGGAATCCACGAGGCTTTGTGCAATGAGACAGCATCAGAGAAGGTTGGCAAATGTCTCAACCCGTTTCAAGCACCCCACGAGGGGGGAGCAGGTCATTGAGAAGTGTCAACAGAAGCGAGAACAGGGCCCGTCGGTCACCTGGACCGAACTTCTTTCAACTGTCATTACTTGGGAAAGGGGACTGTTCTTTGGTGGGCTGGCTATGACTGTGGAGTTTGGGTATGGCCAGATAGTATCTTTCTACTGTGCAGCCTCTATGCACTGTAAAAAGGGGCAGAAGGATCTTCCACCTTTGGGAATCTGGCCTTCATTGCTTGTGACATTCCTGGATTCGAGACTCGACATCTTCCCAGATCTAGATGCTTCTAGATTTGGTGATGAGGGCGATGACAGGCTACTCGCCATTTTTGGCCTCCTTCACCTTGCAGCCTATTTTTTTTGCGCTACTGGGCATTGTGTGTGCTTTAGTTTGGGTCCATGAATCTTTCAGAAAGTTGCTTGAGAGTCCTGACAGCCCTCCCCTGTACTGTGCCCGTACACTTGTGGTCATTGCGCTGGCTGGTGCCATTTTTTGCAACACATTGTATTCGGTGGATTGTTCATTGTGCGGAACTCTGCCTGTATCTCTTGGCTGGAATTCCACTGTTTCTTATTTGCGTCTTTGTTCGAGGCGCCTTTTGCGTTTTTGTCTTGGGTGTCATTGTGGTCATCTGCGTCGCAGCTACCTTTGCAGTCCCCTTTGCTTTTGAGTTCTTGGGAAGAAAGGAGGGTTGCCACTTTGATCGAGCCATACTCTGGTGTATCCCGGTTCCTGGCAGCGATGACACCGTACCCTTGAACTACTATGTGTTGCCAGCGTATTGTATTCTATGGGGAATGGAACTCAAAAAGCTTTTCCCTTCAGGAAGCCAGTCGGAGACATCCAAGTTGATGTTGATCAAGTTGGAAGTTCCTTTCCAATTGTTTGATGTTGTTTCAGATGTGAATGTGGCGTTGAGTGCTTGGAAGGCCCTGCCACGAGCATGGGTTGCATTGACATTCTCATTGTACCTTCCGACCGTGATCCTCTCCTTTTACAGCTTCTTTTGTGCTGCTTTCAAAGCTTCCATGTTTGTTGAGAATCGTCGGTCGTGGTTGTGTTTGCAGCTTTTTGAAGATATTCCACAAGCCATCCTCGCCTGTGTCTACGTTTTTTCTCTACGCATGGGCCGGAGCACCGCAGAGCCCATTTGTTGTCACGACCGTTGTCAGCTCGGTCTTGCATGGCCTTGTTGAGCTAATTGAGCTCATGCAGATGCACCCTGACGAGGAACTGTCGCCGGAGGCGCTCGATGAGAGATGCTCGTTGCTGAACTGCGGTAAAGGTGCCGAAAGGAGTCGAGAGAATGAATGTGAAGAGGAAGGCTGTGACACTCCTTCATCTTTGAGCTCCCGTCCTCTCTGGCTTCCGCTGTGGTGAGGCCCACCCATGGGATCAGGAAAGTGCCGAGCAAATGCATTAGGCACAAAAAAAGGGGACGAGGTGCTTCTTGCTGGGTTAGCTTCCGGGATCTTCTGGGGCTGCTTAAGCTATTCCTCGCCAGCTGCATGAGGACACCATAGGAAACCCACCAAGTCGAGGAATCGTAGTTTGGTTCTAGCAAATCTCAAAGGCTGCAGCTAGATGATGTGTGGAACCAGGCCCCCCAACCTCTGACATTGAGAGAGGCTATCGCTCTTTATCATCTCATATCATCTCCAAAGTTTGTCAATTACAGAACTTCACTGAGTAGCCCACATCCATAGAGCTTTGACAGTGATTCCATGGACATCACCGATGCCAAGCAAATGCATCACAACTCACGGTCCATGTGTCTTCAGAAGATGATTTCCACCATCTTAGATCGCTTCAGCTGCGCCCAGGTCACGTATGTGTGCCCCTTGGCTCATCATGTTGAACGAGCTTGGAACCTGAAGTCTGTCGGGGCACCAAACGCACGGATGCTGCCAGAACGGTGGGCAGAGATACACCTCTGATCCAATTCAGAATCACCATCCAGCACCCTTTTGTAGCTCATAAGTTCCTTTTTTGGAGGAGTGTCAAAGGACGACGTGGGAGAGACTATAATCTTGTTGTTTGGTGTCTTGATTGCTTTTCTGACTCACCGTTGAAGGGCTAAGAGTTTAAGACAGTTCTAAATAGAAGAATAGGCGGGCCTTCTCCCCAGAATCCGACTCTCACGCATAGGCCCACTTCGATTGGCAAACATAAGTTCTAGCGATCCAGACCATGGCAACACGACCTGGCTGCAATAGAATCGCCGTCCGCAAAATCGGCCGGGCACACCAAGGCGCGACACACACATCTGAAGGTCGCATGCCAGATGTTCCAGCTAATGTAGACTCTTGATTCATAAACCATCATAAACCCCAAAACTCAAACTCGGATTTCCAACTCAAATGGGGGTTCTTGTCAATCAAGAGTCCTAAATGACTCCTTTCAACACATCCCCAGTTCCAAGAGTCCACGGATCGAACCACCGGAGTCCACCAGTGGTTTCGCCGCAGGATGCCGGTACCTTTGACAACAAGGTGCACGGAATTGCCAGCGTGCGCCGCCTGTCATATCTAGTCCAGGGCCTGTGGAAGGACCAGCACGAAGTGTGAAAGTTTGGTGTGTGAAGGGTGCTCGGATGCAGCTTGCTCAAGCAGAATGCAGAATCATGTGAACAAGAGCTGCACAAGGGGTTGGCACCAGAGCCCTCTGCGTCTCCTTGAAACATCGAAGGAACAAGAAAGCATATGATGACAGTAGGTGGAAGGCATCCTGGCCGAAACTGAAGGTGTATGTGCGGTTTGTGAGATGAGACGAAGCAGTTGAAACTAACACAGTAGTTGAACCATGTTGAACCCTTCTCTCAAAAGCCTCAAGGAAGTGAAGTTCCCCAGATGGAAAACGGCTTAAGGATGTTCGACTTGACTGTGAAACACACGGAGCCCGGTGAACCATACGCACCCAACTCAGTAGGACACAACATGACCGCTTGCACAGAGGGGAGGGCCCTGAGGGTCTCATGGGAGGCTGGTTCCACGGAAGTACCGATGCCCTTTGCTCCCAGTAGCGTCCTTGTTACTAGTAGTACGGCCAGGAGCCCTAGTAGCGTCCTTGTTACTAGTGCAGTCCAGTAGTACGGCCAGGAGCCCCTAGTAGCGTCCTTGTTACTAGTATAGTACGGCCAGGAGCTCCTCGTAGCGTCCTTGCTCCTAGTAGCGATGCCCTTTGCTCCTAGTAGCTTGCCATTGATGTCCACCACGAACAGCTTGACAGAACAGCTGCGTAGAACAGGTTGCCATGGCTCATGTATGGCGATCGCCCAAGCTTGCCATGATCCGATCTCGTGCCCGCTTGCTCGCGTTGGCAGTTACTGTGCAAGAGGCGGGAAAGTTGCAGACGAGTAACAGTTTGTCACACAGTTGGCTCAATGCCTGTGAAGCATAATTTCTTCCAAAGACAATTCTCTTATCCCGTCTCTTCCGGAACTTGTCACCTCCTCTCTCATGGGTTTTGTCAGTTCCAAATGCTGGACTCCAAATTTCAAGTCCAAGTGTGGCCAAAACTTCGCAGAGAAGATGCAGGCAGCAAAGCTCTGCAGATGCTTTTGCACCTACATCCTAAACAAGCCTGGCACTGAGATGACTGAGATGATCTGGGGTTCGAGTTGGTCGATGAGGAGTACAACCTGAGAAAGCTGGAGATGGGTCTTTGTCGCATGCACCCCCTATCCGACAATCTTTTCCATGTTCTCATTTTTTCTCCAATTCTGACCAACTGATTAGGAGCGCAAATTTGGAGGCCATCGCAAGTAGGTTGGAGGCCATCGCACATTTGGGGGCTTGTTGCTACTTTGTTTTCCTGGCCTGGAGCTTTGATCCTTGGAAAGCTCGTCCACTCTTCGCACAAGATCCGGGAGTTTTCTGAGAGTACACGGACGACCGTGATCCGCGTTGCGGGTACGATCCAGGACCTGACTGTACAAGGAGCTCCTCATGGCTCCAACGGCCCACTTCACATTGAGACATCTGCAGTTTTTTAATCATCAGTCCTTTGGAAGAAAGTGGAGGTTGCCCCGAATATCCGGCGTCAAACAGAAACACGTCGCTACACGTTGCTTTGTGGGTTTCTTTGAGGCCTGCAGGTGTGGTGAGCCAGAGAAATGATCTTTTTGGCCGAAGCAGTGCTCCTTGTGCAGCACTGGAGGGAGCGGAGGAAGCCGAATCAGCGATAGCTTGCGATCAGTTGTCATCAGGAGGCAGCACATTGTTTGATACTGAGCAATTTTTGCATCACCACCACATATACCTGAATGGACTATGAAGATCACCTTCACACCATGGTCAGGGCCCTGCCACTCAGAGCAAAGACCACCAGAAAAGGGCACCTCGAAATGCCAAGCACCTTGGTTTGAGGTCTATGACGTCCTTGACACCTTGCTGGCACAAGGCAGAACTCTGTTCTTGGAGCATTTTCAGAGTTGAGGCAAATCATGATAGAACAAAGGAGTGGTTGTTCATTTGTTTTCAGTCTTCCCTACAAGTTGATACTTTAAGACGATCCTACGGGGATCTTGACTTAAGACGGATGAATTCCAAACATCCTCGCGTCCTTGTTGGAGTTTCTCTGACTTCTACAGCATGCTGAGACATTGCTTCCATACACAACCCATGAGGCTTTCGTGTGTGTGTGTGTGTAGTGTGCGCGCGTGCATGTAGGGGATCGGGGGTTGTCCCTAGATTTTGGATTCCAGGAGTGTAGACAGCCGAAGTGCCTTGAGTCAGCGAAGAAGCAGCCATGGAGTTGACCTCAGTCGCTGAACCATCCAAGGAGGGCAAGACGGAGAATGTGGTTGAAGAGAAGAAACTTGGGGACACTGCTGAGAAAGAGGAACCAAGCCCAGAAGAGCGTGAGCCCAATACCATCATCCTTCTTTGGCTTTGCTGTGTGAGCGCCTTGGAGGGGATGGATACCCAATTGGTTCCCGCTTGTCAGTTCGCCTTGCAAAGAGACTTGGGCTTGCAACTGGGCCACTTTGCCGTCCTCACCACGGTGCAGATGGTTCTCACCAACTTGGCTGCCCCATTCTGGGGAATCCTGGCTGATCGTGGCACTTTGCAGAAGAAGACCATTTTGATGCTGGGAGCCATTGGAGAGGGTATCGCAGTCACCGTGTTTGCCTTCGTTCCTAACTTCTGGGTGATGATGTTCTTGCGGGGCATGAGTGGCTTCTTCCTTGCATCCTTACGACCAGTTTGCAATGGTCTGATTGCAGATCTTACCAGTGACAACAAACGTGGCAAGATCTTTGGGCGAGTGCAAAGTGCTCTGCTCATTGGCATGTTTTGCTCGTTGCTCATTGCTGGAAACGTGGCAAACACATTTGTGGGGGAAATCCCTGGCTGGCGCTTTCTCTTTGCAGGTGCTGGCTTGGTTGCCTTCATTGTGGCAGCAGGATTGGCAGGTTTCCTGAAGGAACCTCCTCATGAGTTGGACCAGTCCGCAAAAGCCAAAGGCTGCGCAGCCGTGCGGACCGAGCTTTGCACAGTCTTGAGCTTTTTGCGCATTCCCACCTTCTGTGTGATGATCATGCAAGGAGTGTTTGGCACAATTCCATGGAGCGTCATGGGCAACAATCTTCTGTTCTTCAAGTTCTGTGGTCTGGAAGATTGGCAGGCCAGCATTTTGGCAGCTGAGGGAACTGTCGCGGGGGTCTTCGGCAACAGCGTCGGAGGCATGATTGCAGACTGCCTGGCCAGACGTTTCGGGTATCATGGAAGGCCTCTCAGTGCACAGATCACGGTTGCCGTCGGAATCCCCATGGTTTTTTCTGCAATTCTACGGCATCCCACCAGGTGAGGGCACTTTTGGTGTGTACTTTGCCCTCATTGCAGCATTTGGCCTATTGGGTTCCTGGGCACAATCTGGCACGAACTTTCCCATTCTCTCAGACATTGTGCCTGCCAGCGACCGGAGCAAGGTCATGGCGTGGGAATGTGCCATGGAAAACTCCTTGGCAAATGCCATTGGTCCGTCTTTGGTTTCTACCTTGGCCTTTGCTTTTGGCTACAAGTTTGGGGCTGAGGAGATGTCCGGAAAGTCTCTCTCTTCAGCAAGGGCACTTGGGCAGGCAATGGCTGCAACTATTTGCATTCCTTGGATGATTACCCTAGCGGCCTACACCCTTCTACATTGGAGCTATCCTCGCGATATGCGCCGGCTGCGTGCCAAGCAGGCAGCCAAGGAGGAGGAGCGCGTCTGAGCGGAGTCGGCGTAGGAAGGGTAGGGCTTCATGCGCCAAGATATGGGTTTGTCTCAAAACAGGAATCCTCTCAACAATAACTGTCTATGTTTGCATGATTCTCTTTTGAACCAGGATTTGTGTCCCTTCTTTTGAGACACACCCATTTCCCACTCAGGCTCCGGCAGGTTTCCTTTGAAGGGTGTTGCCAAAACTTGCTGTGCAACGTGTGCAACCAATTCGGAGGCACGATGCATGGTGCGAAAGTCAGAGATCTGACCCGCCGCTTTCTAATTCGATGGGTTTTCAGCTATGGGGATTGACTTTGTTTTTTTGTTTCGGCCGAGCCCCCTTCAGTTTTGCAACGTGAAGTCGTACCCCAAAGCTGTGAATTCTGGCATCACAAGGGGATGTCACATCGGTGGTGGCAGATTGCAGCCTCATCCTGCGCTTCCTGCACAAACGCGGGAAAACCAGGATGAATCCTGATTTGTATACAGTAGAGCTTTGTAAAGAGTTCTGAACGCCTCAAGATGAGTCTGTTCAGCTTCCAACATGAGGGAAGTGACCACCGATGCGGGCACGATGCAGTTCACTGCTTTCGCGGCTCAATCGGTGCTCATCTCCGCCATGGCTTTTGCTCTCGCTCTCTTTTGAAATGGACTTTCGCCGAAAAACTCGAAACACGCATTGGAAACAGCCGGTTTTTTGATTGACTTTGATACCACTTACTTTGACCGCTTGTCATTTTACTTCAAACTCATGTTACCGCTTCTCATTACTTGACTTTGACCGACCTTCCACCAGGCCACTTGGGCGAACCACCGTGCCACGTTGGCGCGGTTGGGCGGCTGGATTTGGAGACCACTGGGCTGATCGTCGCTCGGGTGTTGAACCGTTCGTCACCAGGGGAGTACATGGGAAGCTGCGCCCTTTCAATGTGTCCTTTCAATTGGCAGAGTGCACGAAAAAGATACAACAAGCACCAATGGTTGATTTTCAAAGGGGCCTTTGAGATTCTTCGAGAGGGCAGTCCGGAGCCTTGTGGTTGAGTTTTTGAGGGTGACCTTGGATGAAGCCGGCTACGAAATGAAAAGGAGCATGTCAAGGAGATTGAGTTGGTCCTTGAGTGAAATAGCGTGAAGTGAGATTCCTTGTAGGGGCCAGTAGCAATAGTCGTCGTTCATTGTTTTACTGACATCCCAGAGCAAAATCTTGAGCTAACATTCAGTGTCGAGTAGGTTAAAGGAGATGTGAATTGCTAGAGGACCTCAAGATCTGATGGCATGGCAAAACTGAGCAAGATCATTCTTTGGGAAGGACTGCGGCGTCATGACCACGGTGTCATCCGACTTCTGATGGTTTCACTGAGGTCATGACAGACGACAGGCCGCTCGTCGACATGCTTGGCCGTTTGCCAAATTCGAGAGATTTGCTTTCATTGCAGTTGTGAAGCGTTCTACATACATTGAACCATCAAGAGGTATTGTAATTACCACCATGTGATGTGTTTGTATATATGTGAATCCAGCTAAATACTTCTGGACACACATTTCATTGCCCTCTGACTGTTGTTCGTGGTCCGCGCCGTGGTGTCCGTTCGGCATCACAGGAAGATGAACTATGCCATCACCTCTACGCCGCTGGAGAAGACGTACGAACTGACCGCCTCTCGGCTTCATTGTGCTGACTGTACCAGGGGCGAATTCATAGATCGAGGGACCTCATTGCACGAGTCTTACAGGACCATGAACATTCTGACCGTTGATCAAAGGAGCGAGATTTCAGTACTCCAAATCCAAATATAAAGGAATGGGAGTGAACTCGGAGTCAGGACAGTATAGCCATGTCAGCTTTCAAGAATGGTGACTTTGGCATCTCCCCTTGCTCTTGTTGGTCAATCCCACCCGTGGCCACCGTGGCCACCGTGGCCTCGACGCACTGGACGACGGGTCGAGGTTGCTGGGCGTTGGACCTTGGCTGACCCACGGATCAAGCTGCTTTCAGAGCCGCCGCTTGGAGAGGGCGAGGGTCCGATGTTGATGTCCAATGAGTCTTCGTGTTTCATTTCGGATGTCCAATTTCAAGGTCCCCTTTTGTTAGGGTTCCTAAGTTGTAATAGAAAGATCGTATGAAGGTGGACACCACAATGTCCGAGCCGAGTCTCTCAACGTCCACAGACCTGAGGTACCGATATATGCGAAATCGCACCAACCGTGGCGAAGAGGTGTGGACCTTGCCTGCAGAGGCCGAGCCAGGGGAAGTCGACTTTGGTGTTCGTGATGCGGTCAGTCGACTGTAAACCTCTCAAGTTCCCATGTATACTACTGTGATTGATGTTTTTCAGTATGCTTTGCTCAATTCTTTTGGTTATTTATTGTATAACACTTGCCGAACTTCTGTTGACAGGGGACCGATGCAGACCCGAAAAGACACGCAGGTTCGGCTCCTGCAGCATTGGCATGTGGACCCGGGGCACGGGAAGCCGCACTTCTTGGGGCATCGGTCCTTGTTGGAGTTGACCCTGCGAGAGGGGAGGTGCCGGCCGCGTCTTCGAATGAACGGCGAACACGGAAGCGATTTCGACCGGTCAGAGACGTGTTGGCAGCCATCCTTCATGTGTGTAGCATAGTCATAGTCACGCATAGTCCTTCTCGCTTTGCCTTAACATGCTTCAACTAAGGTAACATCATTTGCTCTTGTTGGTCCTTGATATGCCGATTCGATGGTTGTGCAATGTTGTGCAGACCCCTTGTCACGGGAAACATCACACTGGCGTGCCCTAGAACAGCCATCGCCCGAGTATTCATTTTTAGCCGTACTTTATGTGCTTCTTTCGTGAGGCCTTTGCCTTTTTCTCTTTTCTCTGGATCCGAAACATGTTTTTCTTTCCTTTAGTTTTGAGTCTTTTGTGGCAGGTCTCTTAACCTGTACTTTTCAAAACAAAAACAACAGCTGGCCAAGCAGCCCGATGATTGGAATCTGAAGCTCCTGAAAAGACACACCTCTAAAGATGGTCTTGAGTTGATATCTTGGGCCGCTTCATTTTAGTCTTCTCAAGCAACCAGTTTGCCGGCTTGCCTTTTGAAGTTAACATCAAGACATTTGGGTCACAGAGAGGATGTTTGGAGAGGCCATGAGAACGCTTCGGGTTCGGGTTCGGGTTCTGCAGTGAAATTTGGGGGGATACACCGGAGGGTGGTGACCTTCGTGCCATTCGTGCCATTCGTCCAACGAAATCCACTCCGAAGCTCCAACGATTCGATGCGCCCTTCCGCCCGACCTCTCCGAGTCGCAGGCATCGACAGATCCGACGTTTGGTGAGCCGCTCGGGTCGGGCGCCCCGGCAACGCGCGTGGGTGGTGTGACAGGTAGATCTGATTTCAAGAGAAGATTAAATATGGTTGCGGAGCTGGTTGTTCGTGTGGGAGAGGGAATTCTCATGGTTCTGGGGATCTTGGTTCACTTTTCTCAGCCTGTGATGACATCAGTGAAGTGTTCAGTGAACCAGTGGAATGGGCATTCAGGCAGAGCTTGAGCTTGTCAGACAGACATGAGGCTGTTGAGCCTTTCTGTGGAACTTCTGACAGGACTGTCTGACGGTTCTACTCGTACTTCCGATAGCTTTTCAGCCGATTGCAGGCATGCGGATTCTTTTTTGGAATTGCACACTGATGATTGGCACATCGGTGGCCAGTATATGCTATAACAAGAGGCACTTGCACTTGGATAGGCATCAGCCGCTGAAGTATCTTCGCACTTGTCGAGTCCAAGCAAAGTGGGGCTGTTGTCGACGCCCTGCCTACCCTGGAGCCCTCGAATAGGCATGCGGCATGAGCCGCTGAAGGATTTTCTGCACTTGTTGAGTCCAAGCCCAGCTTGATTTCAGTGCTGCGCTG